ATAAAATATTTCAGTATGAGATTACAAAATATTATAGTAATTTTCAGTATCAAATCATGGGAGTGCATAAAAAGTGATAGTTTGTTGACTTTCTGCAGTCCTCATGAGAGACCACGTTTGAGACTGACAGTGTAAAGTACTATATTATACTTCTTATTATGGTTAATACAAAGTTTATTAGGGAATCTCAAGAAACATTAATAGCTTAATTGTCCCATTATCTTGATATATGAACACTGCAATTAACAATACTAGTAATTAAAATTAATTTCCTCTTTCCTCTCCTCTTAACGGCAATATAATAATATTACTTCCTCCTCCATATATTACCCCAACATCTTTCACCTTGTTTCCCGTCTCTTCTTATCTCTGCAAGACTGTAACTTTTGTTATGGACTTATGGCAGTGGCACGGCCATGAATGGCGGCATCCGAGGAATAGTGGGTCAAATATGGTATAGCTGGGAAATGATCAATTGTTGTTTCAACTATCATGGATAAGGTACAGAATTAGGGCTCCATCAGTTGTCAACAGCCAGTTAGCAGGACTCAGACGATATACTCACTATACTGTCCACATCCACGATGACAAAAAAAGCACAAGAAAAGACCATTTTTATTCATCTAAACTTCATACATCTAGCTAATAAGGCACTTATTCATAGCTGCTACAAGCCTAAATCTCACATTGAACATCATTTGGTGAGAACTACAAAGAGAAGCATCTAAACTGTTCCTCATATATCTTCAAACTTCCACTAGCTCCTTGGGAAAGATTAAAGCTTGCTGGAGATTTGACATATTCAACACTAAGATGTAAGATGTAATTTTGATACAGAAATGATAATATTTTGTGTAGATATGCAACATTTGGAAATTATTTAAATATATATATGGTAAATGATGACTTGGCAATATGATCTAAACCTATAAATCTTATTACATAGAAGGATGAAGCTGAATACAATTTATTGCACTAGTAATAAATTGATCAGCAATTCATCCAAGGTGCATTCAACTCATTCCCTAGCTCAAAAAGCACACACTAAAAAAGCTACTCAAATTTGAAAAGATTTTGTATGATGAGGCATTGAGGCATGATCTTGTTCATGTTTACACATGGTAAAGGGAGGTTGGTGCAATATTGTTCAACAAACAGATCAAGGGTATGCCTCAAGTACTCTGTAATGTGAAACAAGTCAACCAAGCAAGATCATGAACCAAATATCATGGTCGGGTCGACCAGGTCAGATCATGAGGATACCAGATTCATCGCATCAGGGAAAAAGGAAGAGCGATTAGTCTTTGAAACATACTACAAAAAGTCTAAACACAATACGGAGTAATAAAATTAGAAAAAAGTTGCTAACTTACTGTTTCTGAAGATGCAGACAAGTCATAGATTCAGCTTCAGCTAGCAACAATAGATTTTAAGAAGGCCTTATATGAGAGACTTGGCTGTACCAGAATGAGTGAAGGGTCATGTGAAACAGGTCATACTTTTCTGGTGTTTTATGCCAAATGAAATGTCGTTGCACCTTTCTTATCCTTTGCTGCATATCAAGGTACCGTTCTTCAGGGATGGAAAGAAGGATGTTCCTCAGATTTGGGATGTCTTTCTCTAGAACGAACACAGCAAATGCCTCCCAATCTAGCACCTCAAAGAAAGGAGGCACATTATCAGAGATAATTACAGGAATACACTCATATAACATGGATTCAACAACCCTAGGTGTGTGGACCCCATAACCTCGGGCACAAATGCAGTACTTGCTGCTTTTCATGTACTCCCTGTAGACTGCTTTGCCTTGGATATCCCGCTGCATTGGACCAAAGATCTTCATATCTGGTACCTTATCTTCCCAGTATTGCAACAATAATGGACGGAGATAGCCATGCAATTGTCCAGCAAAGAAGGCTAATATATTTCTCTCTGAAGGTGGTTTTCCTCCTATGTCTCTTGTGGGGTCATTTCCACTGCGAACATAAGTTACAGGTACACTGACATCCTTGCCTATGTTAAAGCCTCTTGCAACATTGGCGTTACATAATCCTCTAATGCAACCGCTCATATGATTTCTTGTTATACGCGGGCCCTGAAAAGGTCATTGTTTTATCAGGGGGATAGAGTGTGAGTTTGGATATTCAAGTCAAGGCAATATATTATACAGCATTACAGCTTGTCATTTTTAAGTTTGGGATTCTTTTGGTACTTAAACTAGCAGACTTTGTAATTTTGTACTCTTGATTGTTACCTTCAGCCTTCCTGAATATGAAAAATGAATTTCACACCCCAAATTATTCTTCAAGGATCTGTGTACATCACTCAGATGAGGGTACAAGAGCTGGTTAGAGGTGTAGGTCCAAGGGTAGAACTTGCTTATTTTGAAGATTTTGACCTGTTCTCAGTCTATTTTGAAGTGTACAAATGCAATATACTATCGCAATTCTCAAAATCGGTATTCAATATTGAAGGATCAAATATCAATGCTTTCACTTAAAAACTAGAAACAAAAGTGCTGCATATGCAAAGGATTTTGATGACCAAATAATGCAGAGATTTGGTTTGACTAAGAAAATGAATGAAAATTTAACAAAAAGGAATCTAGAACACTGAACACTCAAGTAACACTGACATCTAACAGATATACAAAACAATGACCTTTGTTTATATAGAGGAAATTATAGAGCTTGGAAGTTAGAAGACATACCCAGTCATGACAAGCAACGAAAGGAAGTTGGAAGACATACCCAGTCATGACAAGCAACGAAAAAATGATCTGTTCCCCCAGTCCTGTTCCAAAAGCGGTATCGCGTTTTAATCAATTCCACATAATTTGTGAGATAATGCTCCAAGTTCTTGATACTATTTGACTTGTTCTCGTACAGGACTGTGCGTAGTGTTTCAGAACTGAAAGGCAAGTAATAAAGATGGGCCTTTTTAGGGTCCCTTACAGTGAAGTGTCTGCTTCCCTCTATCAGTTTCATAAACCATCCTTCTGCTGCATATAATCCCCGTAGTCTTGGGTGATGAAATATTGGCTTCTCCCCTTCTTTGTATACGTAAACTTTGAGTAGACGTTCCATTAAGTCATAGCTCCTGCAGAAACAATTACACTTGCACTTGAAATAAGGGCTCTGATAAACACAAGAAATCCTAGCTTATAAACAGAATAATGCAGGATTTCATGTCCGGATAATGTTTGTTACTCCGGTGGACATGTTTAATACATGCTAGTCTGGTGGACAACGTTTCTACCAATATCTGCTTCAATCTTTGCTTCAAAAAAGTCTTTGAATTAGTAAGAACGTAGGCACATAAAAGTACCTAAGTCATCTGTTTGCAAATTGGCAAATTGCAAGCAATCAAGCATCCTTGGCTTCTCAAACAATCACAAAATTTAGTAAGACGATCATAGACAGACTTATGTTTTGAACACAGAGACATTTCAGTAAAGAGGAGCATGCAAGTCAGATATATTCCTTAAAACAGGAGCATTCTTTATCTGCAAGCTTGCAAAAAGAAGTTGGCGGTCACATGTTGTAGATCCTCTTCCTCTTCGCCTCTAGATTCAGTCAAAAAAAAAAAAACAAGAGATTAATTTGCTATACTTTTTTTGGTGTTAGAGAGCCACATGGGTGGATGATGAGAATCGTTCCTAGGGAAGCTCTAACCAACTAAGCTATCCCTCACTCTCACATACCCACATGTACTAATTAAATAAATTAGAATGTAAAAAAAATTAAAAAAAAAAAAAAAAATGGCACTACCAGTCTACCATAGTTACCATACCACTGAGGTTGTTAATGCAGGTCCATCGAGCAACATTGATTTCATCTCAGATAAAGTAATCGTAGCACCTCTCATCTTTCTTACATATCTTTCAATCACAGATGTGTCATTCTTACTGCCAGCCTCCAACCCCACAACCTGCTTGATTTTGTGAATTTGTGAGCTGCTCGATGATGTTGAAACAATTGATCTAGTACCCAAAGGTTCCATCGTATCCATGGAAATTTGACCAGAATAATTTGTTAAAACATCCATACTTCCAGCATCCTCAATACTACTATCCTCAGTAGAATTCTTATGCAATGCATAGAATTGCTTTGCTCCATTCTCCACACTACTAGTTTTCCTCATTAATAAATCCTTACCAGAAGTATCATCATGTTCACTTCTACTAGCTCTATCACGGTCCAATGTAAGTCCATTGTCTTCGCGCTCCCCCCCCCCCCCAATCCACTTGCATTCTTACCACCTACTCCCTCCACCATATCAAAATCACCATCCTTAACCAAAATCCAAGAAGATGGACTTCTTATCGCTGCTAGAGGCAAAGCCTCTTCGCCAGGCGACAAAGTAGATATGTATCTACCAAAGAGCAATGCCCAAAATTGAGCTAAAACTATCATAACTACTAAAAAACCCGTCATCAAAACGAGCAATCTTCGCCCATAATTGCATAATTTCATGAACAAACCAGCCATATGTTATTCTATAGTCTATATCCTAAATAATCAAGTGAAACACCACCTTGTGTGATCCTGGTAAATGCAATATCAAACTGAAGAATCAAAATAGCCATACCAAAACATAAATAATACGAAGTACTAATTATTGAAGAAAAAAGCATAATAAAACCCCATCACAGAAAATTCATCTCATAACTTCCAAAACTACCAAAATTAAGACCCATATTAAAAAGAAATCTTTTAGCTAAATTTTATACACCCATTAACATTTTAACAAAAAAGTTGGAAAAAACTAAGCAAATTATACTTCTTATACTAAAAAAAGATTGAATTTTGAGTAGTTAATTACAGTGAACTAGTGAAGTAAGAGAGAGAAAGTGTACCTGTTGTATCAGCAGCCAACATAAGCAGTGACAAACGAAAAATGTCGGTACATAAAGAACATTAATACGACGTCGTTTATATATAGAATGCCACCATACGACGTCGTTTGTCCCGAAATCATCTTTCCGAATTTTACCCCAAAATTTCTACTCCTCTGAAGTAAACACAAAATCATCCTCTCACACTTTCTCTCTCCTCAATACAACGACGTTTCCTTCGCTCGCCGGAAAATTGTACAAAAATGGCGCCTTTGGAAGTTGGAATTCGGCGGGTAATTTGTAAAATTGTATTTTTAATGTGAACAAAATTGTGTTTTGTTGATTTGGGGTTCTAATTTTGGCATAATAAATTTATATAATTTGTGAAATTTGATTATTTAGATATTGATGTGTATTAATTTGGGGTGTTTGGATGTTGCATCATTGCATAATTGAATATGAATATGAATATAGATTGTGAGGAATTTAGTGGTAATGTAGATGTGGGAGTGTCTTTAGAAGCTCTAGAGGCTGATGGTGGAGTTAGTATCGTTGATGAATTAGAAGGAGTGTCCTCGACAAACGAGTCGAAGGCGGCGGAGTCGAGTTTATTGCCCTTGACCCCGCCGCCGAGGGTAGGGATGGTGTTTGAGAGATGGGAAGGTGTGGATGAATATTATAAAAGATTTGGGATGGACCAAGGGTTTTGTGTTAGTAGGGTATCAGGTGCATATAGAACAGGAAAGGAGAGTGGTAAGGTTAGGAGGTCGGCAACTTGGCGGTGTGAGTGTTATGGTGTACCGGATACTAAGGCAAGGAGGGAGGCGAAGAGGAGAGCTAAAGGAATAGAGATTGGTGGAAGCATGGAAGGTCATGATCAAGGCATAAGAAAACGTAAGTCGAAGAAGTGTGAGTGTCCTGCGATGGTTTATGCTAGTTTGAATGCGGAAGATGGGTGGGAATTGAAGAAAGTTGTGTTGGAGCATAATCACAAGTTGACCCTAACGAAGTCAAAGCTAGTGAAAGAGGGTATGATGAAGGGGGTTGGGGAAACTCGAAATAGGAGGCTATCTAATGATTTTAATGATGGGTCATGTGTCCCACAAATTCATGGGAGTTCAACGGTGAAGAGGGAAGTTGTTGAGGATATGCCAATGATGGAGAAGTGTTGCCCCCGTGTATTAGAGCATGAGAGAAGGCTGAGAATGGAGGGTGGTGATGCAAATTCTATGATGGATTTATTTGAGATAATGCAACGAAACAACCAAAATCTATTCCATGCCCATAGATTTGATGAATTTGGGGTGTTGCAGGATGTTTTATGGGTAGATGCAAGGAGTAAAGCAGCATATAAAGAGTTTGGGGATGTTGTTTGCTTTGATACAACATACTTGACGAATGAGTATGAGTTGCCACTTTTTAATTTTGTAGGTGTTAACCATCACGGACAATTAGTCTTGTTGGGATGTGGTTTAGTTTCGCATGATGATGTTGACACATATGCTTGGATTTTCCGGCAATGGTTGGTATGCATGGGAGGAAAGGCCCCTGATGCTATTTTGACTAATGAGGATGAAGCAATGAGGAAGGTGATTACGGAAGTCATCCCGGATACTTGTCATAAGTGGTGTATTAGGCAAATATTGCAAAAGTTGCTGAAAAAGATGTGCATGTATGCAAGGTAACAACTTTTAAGTATTAATATACAGGTTAATGATGGGAATTTGCATTGTGTTTTAATGTGTATTGTATGCAGTTATTCTAACTTCTGGTAGCCCCAACCTGATATGAATTTATTTCATGTTAGTTTTTATATGATGTGAATGAAAATCATGTATATAGAAGAAAGTTGAGCAAATATGTGATCTAGTAAGAGCAAATATGAAGTTCGGATGTGTTGAAAAGGGACCTAGCATTTGATGTGTCTAAAGTTATAAGCACCTTGCCAGAAACTTGTGATGGAAAAAAAGGTTAGTTAACATCAAATGCTCAGATAATAACAAAAGGAAACAAATAAAATTGTTAAAAAAATTTATGCTTGACAACATTGCTTTCATCAAATCTCTACATAATTATGTTGTTTGTGGCTGTGGCATGTAATGATCCTAAAAAAGTGAAAATCTAGAAATCTGCTACAAATAATGATAGCAAGAGCTTAATACAGATGTGTACATTTTGAAATTATAATGCCGACTGTCAAGCTTACTAACCTGTCACTCTTGCTAATTGCTGAGTGAGATCCTTTACCATGACCACAGTAACCCAGCCACATCCCCTGTGTGTCTTGCGAGGAAGATGAATTATACCCCAATTGAGGTCACACAACCATTACCCTTGCTTAAAACCCTAAATCTTCCTGATGTTTTCTTTGGAATTGACAACAAACAGAGCTTAATTAACCTGATCTGTGACCCAAAACACTCATCTATATCATAATTGTTAGAAATTTTGATGAAAGTATTCTTTGTGAAATTGCATCAGTTATTGTAGAACCTTCTGTTTAACTACACCAAGTTCTTCCCAAAAAGGCATAAAGATGTGGCTTATTGGGGGAAAGCCTCAACAGCAAGATTTAAGAATACAGAATCAGCTTGTACACCATATGGAAAGTAATATCATCATGAGAAATAAAAGATAATAGTGAAAGACGTAACATTTTTGAGTTGGGCAAAAACAGAGACAGGAAAGCAGTAAAATTCCAGTAAGCAGACCGAATTCACGGCAAATTTAGTTATGTGTAAATGATAATCATCGAAGTCCATTACTGACATAAATGACTGGAAACCAAAATTTTCACATTATATCTGTCTTGATTAAGTGTTGAACTACATTTCTGGAATGGTTGCTGTGTCTTTGACATTTATAGATATAATTGTTGTAGGTACCAAGAATTAGAGGATGAACTCAAGGAAGTAGTTTATGAAAGTTTTACAGTTGATGAGTTTCAGAGTCGGTGGGTTCGTGTTGTCGACAAGTATGAGTTGGGAGATAATGATTGGTTGCAGAGACTCTATGAGGAAAGAGCGATGTGGGTCCCAGCATTCGTGAAGGATATATTTTTGGCAGGTATGCAGAGGGTTGGAAGTATGAACAATTTTTTTGACAATTTTGTGACAAGGCACACAAAGTTGTTTGAATTTGCCGAGAAGTACTGTGCAGCAATGGAGGATAAGGTATCCAGTGAGAAGAATGAAGATACAAAGTCTATGAAGTATGTAAGGAAGTTGGTAACTGGATTCAAGGCGGAGGAGGTGTTCCAAAAGGTTTATACCAATAATAAGTTTAGAGAGGTTCAAAGGGAGTGTGAGAGAGTTATTTACTGCTATGGAAAGGGGGAGGTTGTTGGAGACACAGTGGTGCATCTCATGGAGGATCGTGTTTGGATTGTTTTCAAGGGTTCAAGTGAGGAGGTCATAACTGACAGGAGGAGATTGTACCGAGTATGTTACAATGTTAAGTCAAGAGAAGTGGAGTGTGATTGCAAGTTGTTCGAGACTCATGGGATATTGTGCAGGCATTGTATAAGGGTGCTAGATCATCACTTGTTTGGGGAAGTTCCTGATAAATACATACTGAAGCAGTGGCGTAAGGATGTATCCCGGAAGCATGCACGAGTGAAGGTGGCATACCATGATCCATCAAATTTGGTCGAGGTGAAAAGGTATGACAGTATGATGGCTGTGTTTGAACCACTTTGTGATATTTCAAGTAATGCAGAGGAGACAATGGCAGTTGTGATGAACGGGTTGAAAGATATTCAAATCTCACTAAATGAATGGTTGGGCAAGAGGAGTGTTAGTAGTATGGGTGACACTGATGTAAAAGATATGCATACTGTTATCGATGGCATTGTGGAAAGTAATGGTCAATCACAGATGACACCGTCAAACCCAACACAAGGAACCAAGGCTTCTGTTGTGGTAGGTAGAGATGGTTAGGCACATAACTTGTTAGATAACATTGATGCTGACTAGAAACGGCTGAGAGCTTGCAAGTTAATATCGTAGCTTTGGATAATGTGTGCCAATAATTAGAGAACTGTGCTTATCATGCTAAGATTTATTGAGAATCTAAGATGTTCCTATATTAAAAAAATTCCAACTTTTCTAGCTGTTTTGGCATGATGTCTGTCCAGTATTAACAGACTACAGATTGCTGGTGTATAGCTCTAAGATGCCAACAGTAAAGTGAAAATCTTGACATGTAAGTTTTGTAACCAAAAATCTAAACCTGCCTTTCCTCTTATGCTATGAAAAGTTGTTACACCTATATATGGTGGATGTGGCAATTTAGAGGATAAAAGAAAATTTGAGGCATTTGAAGCATGTAAATTTGTCAGAATGAATTGACAAGAATTGAACCCCAATGACAATTGTGAAATTGGTGTTAACTCAGAGTTTGCTTATATCTTATTATCTGCTCTATGTATTCTTGATGTGCTCTTCATCTTAATGTTAACTATGTTACGCGTGTTAACGGAGCCCTTCCCTTCTTTTCTTCTGTACATTCAGGATTTCCCCTGTGTGTGTTCATCTTATTTGAAAATGAAAACATATTTGGTGGGTAAAAGATCTGCATCTCATGATTTTATATGTAACTAACATAGTACATGTGATTCTCGTCCTATCTGTAATCACTAGTTTGTTTTATTGAATTGATTGAGACAGTATGTGTAAATTTTATCTAACCTTACTTGAAGCGAATCACTTTTATGTGTTTATATTGTTACAGTGAGTTGAAGTGGTTAAATTGAAGGAGAAATTTCCTTTCATTATCCATCTTCACACTCATTCGCTTATCGGTACTTAAATATGATTATGGCGGAAGCTGTATTTGCTGCTGAAGCGAATGATAAAAAAATTCCACTACTTCTGGAGGCCTCTGATGTCACCTTTAACACACACACTAAGGATGACACTGTGCTAGAGCAGAGATTAAATTGTGCGAAGATATTCAGCTACCAGTTGGTTCATTGGTGTATGATGAAAAAGGTATTATCCTCATTAGACTGACACATTCATGATATATAAACTATATAAATATTTTTTTTTATTTTTTATCATTCTATTTTATTATATCGTTTTCAGAGATATTTGGGTCACAAGTCAATTGTCCCAGAATTGATAATGGAACTGATTAAATTTTGGTTTATGATGCTTGCAATAACAGTGGAGTACATCAAGAAAAACAATCCACAAGTAGCACATTTTTGTCAAGTCCTACACTTTGTTTCTTGGATCTACAAAAGTGTAAGTCCTGCTAAAGCATCTGATTTTTGAAAGCTTTTTCATGCTCTGATATTTCATGGTCACTTTCAAATATTTATATCCGTTTGAGGATTCAATAATATTTTCTTTTAAAAAAAAGTAACCTGCTTTTTTATTTAATTTTTATGAATTCTCAGTTATATGGGTATAAGATGACTGGGGAATCAGGGTAACATAGCTGTAACAACCGTTGCTGTTTAGTAAATCTCAAAACACACTATTTTCTAATTACGTCAACTTGGCTATTGAATATGACATGGACATCAAATAATAGCTGTGATCCTGGTTTGGAAAATACACACACAACTTATGAACATTTAGCTTAATAATATGTTCTCCAATTTATTAAATCCTAGATTTATGGGTGTAATTTGCCACCTGTATGAGCTTTCACTTCCTCTTCTGATACATAGTGTTTCCAAAACCAGTGATTCCTCCACAAGAAGATGACTTCCTCTATCGGAACCTGTTTTGTCTCAGGAAGGAAGAAGAACACGAAGCTTGTCATAATCAAGATCAGCCCAGCAAACAGAAGGAAGATTCCGAACTTGAGGTGACAGAGAGCCACGAGGAAACATTGAGCAATCAAGGCAGTGAAGATCATGTTGACACAGACAACAATACTCTGACCAGCTGACCTTGTTTCTAAGGGGAAGAGCTCACTCGGTACTAGCCAACCTAATGGACCCCATGACCTTCCATATGCCAACACAAACAAGCAAATCAAGATAACAAGGAAGTAGCCAATTCCATGTGGTAATGTCTTCCCATCCCCAAAGTAGAGGCCAAGAATGATGCCAACAGTCACCTGAAATGGGAAAAAAAAAAAAAAAAAAAAAAAAAAAAAAAAAAAAAAAAAAGAAGAGGAGGTAAGTTTAGTGCACAGTTACTTTTCAGCAGTTCATTTTATTATTTAATCTTCAATTTTGTTCTCTTCTGAGTACCAGAGCTCTGTGCTTGTTTCGGGTTGATTTTATCTAAGAAAGGTTTTTTGCTGTACAAAGAATTTGGGGAACATTGGAATGTTTCTTTAGGTAGCCAATTAAACCTGCAAATATTCCCTAGTTTCTTCTGATTATATCTATTTGTATTTTGTTCTTACCATTTCAATCAACATCTCTACACCAGCTTCAATGTAGAAGGCTCTTCTTCCAAACTTATCTACCAAAGCCATGGAAATCAATGCAGCAATTACAAGTGCTCCATTGGTAATGGTTGATGAATACAGAGAAGCATTTGTGTTGAATCCCAAACTCTGAAAGAAAACTGGAGCATAGAAGAGAATGGAGTTCATGCCAGTGAGTTGTTGGAATGCCGGAAGTGCTATAGCTCCAATAATCAACTGGGGGCGGTTTTTCCTCTGAAGAAGGTTCCTGAAAGGATGCTTGATAGCCCTTGCTGCGTCACTGGCATCGACAAGGTCAGCAAACTCGGCATCAACACTTGTGGTACCTCTGACTTTTTCCAACACTTTCCTTCCTTCATCTAGCCTGCCTTGTTCCACTAGACTGTTTGGGGTTTCCGGCAGGAAGAGGCCCCCGACAAACATTAAAGTTGCTGGAAGGGTGGCCAAACCCACAGAAATCCTCCATCCGTGAGGATGAATTTTTGCTGTCCCGTAATTGATGAAGTTAGCTACTAGAATTCCCAAGCATGTCGTTAGTTGAAATAGTTGATTAACTGCTCCTCGGATCTTTGCAGGTGCCATTTCGGAAAGATATAGAGGAACTGCCTGTAAGATTAAACAAAAATATTGATCATCAGTTAAAAGGTACAGAGTATTAAAGTGAGTGTTTTCCAAAAGCCAGTGTTTTATATGAAAAAAACTGAAGACAAAAGTATGTAAGTTGGGGCTTACTTGGTTTCCAAATCCAATGCCGAAACCAAGGAAAATTCTCCCGATGATTAGCATGGCAACATTTTGGGCAGCTGCATTGATAACACCTCCAATGAAGAAACTGGCACCACCGACTAGAATACTAGCTCTCCTTCCCTTGGTTCGAGTCATATAAGAAGCCCCAAATGTAGACACCAGAGCCGCATAGTACAGGGAGGATGTGAAGAGAGTCAGAATCTGGTCATCGTATTTGCAGTAATCAGTCTCAAGCAAATGTGCGTGCTTCCTTCTGTAAACCTTTGGGAAGAATTCTTTCAAAAAATCATCCATTGAAGTCACTCCACCTATAAAAAAAATATTTCGGTAAGTTTTCAATAAATTTGTTACTGTTGATTTTTATTGATAGCTATAAAAAATTGAAGAGGAAAAAATAACATTGAAAAATTATATCTGAAGAGAAATTTTGCTGGTAAGCTAGTTCAGTATTCAGTAGAGGTGTTCAATGTCTTAGTTCTAACTTAGCCTCTCTAGAATGAGCCAAACATTAAAAGTCCTAGCCAACATATAGAAACAAACCTGATCTGGTTCGTTGGAGAGCTGGCTGTGCTAGGCAGTAATTATTGCATGGTCCAGCTCTCTTTCCTCATAATAGGTTGGTTACCAATTTATGTAGTAATGATGATCACCAATTGTTTGGAAAGGCAGGAGCAATGGTTCGGGACCATCCAATAATTTCTCCCTGCTTGCACCAGCTCGCTTACAGTTGACTTTTTTAAAATGTGAATGTTAAACTCCAACATTATGAATTATGATGAATGTGGTTTTTACATTCCAGTATTTAACCCTTCCTTTTCCTTCGTACCCTGTCTATTCAATTTTATATGATCCCACCCTATTATTGTCATTGCTTCACAAAAAGTTCTTAATCGCTTATTAGTTCTTATTTTACATTCCAATTTTTAACCCATCCTTTTCCTTCACTGATTAGTTCAAAGGTCAAAGGTTATGCCTGATTAGGCTCAATCCGGTTCCTGTTCAAACATAAGGTGAACTGATCCGGCTATCAGCCAGCATATGGCCAGGCCTGATCGAGCCACTTCATTGACTTTCAACCGACCAGCCGTCTCAGACTCAGCCCATGACCATCTCTAACTCCCAAGTAATTTTTTTACATTTGTTCATTGAATGTGGTGTAAATATCATATTTTCAAATGTGTGAATGAAAGAATTTAAGTGATACATATACCAATTACTCAGATTAATTTCTTTTCAATTCTCATATCAAATTCATATATCTTTTTTCTAGTTTATTTTCAGGTAGCGATTAAGTAATGATAAATCTATCTCCGATATTAGACTAATAACCCAATCCCGGGTTTGAATTTTCACTGACTTACAAGGGGCATTTTGGTCCACTTTTTTCTAATATTTTCCCATCTTTGAAACTGTACAAGTGTTACCCTTTTCGCTCTGTATTGCAGAAACTAAGAAGAAAAACAAAACAAAAATTGTGAACAACAGAAGAAAGAAAAACTGACCGGAGACACCAAGATCATAACCAAAGAGCGATCCACCACTCGCTGCTACGATGCAAGCAAAGATAAAATAAGGTGTGATCTTATACTCGTACAAAGCTGCTCGCCCGGCTGCTGCTCCATCAACAAATGCGCCCCCTGCCATTCTTCCTGATCACGACGACAAATCTGTGTGTATGTATCGCGCTCTTTCTCCTTGTAATCACGACGTTGATATGCGAAACTACTGCCTAAACTGATGTTATCTGTTATTAAAAATAACACAACTTCCTTCAAACTTTTCCAGGATCATTCCAAATGGAGGGAAATGGGGGACCCTGATAATGATTTTAAAACAACTTAGCAAAGAATTAATGAAAACTATATAGTATTATTATACTATATAGTTTTTATTAAACTTCTTTGGTTTTGTTTTATGGGATAAGTTGAAGAAAGTTATGTTTTGGGGTCTTTCAATCTCACCTACAAAAACTAGTATTTTTCTTCTTGTTTCAATGTTATGTCATGGTGTATTTATAAAGGAACATGCATAATAGGATAAGAGAGAGAAAATTAGAGAGAGGATGAAGACTTTGTACAGTTGTACTTTACTGGCTAAGATTTTGCTAACAACTTGATCCTATAATGACGTATTTGTTAATGGTCTATTTTTCTCCGTAGCAATATATTACGCGTAATCATATATATAAGGAGTTAAAAGTGAAAACATTAATCACATAACAATTATAATCATCAATCGTATGTAAACACT